CTCCCCTCTCTCCACCCAATGCTTTCCTGTCTACTTTCCTGTCCATTAAAGGTATAAAAGCCCATAAATGTGTGTATATACAGTATATATACTGGAACATCAAATCTATGCTCACATGTTGCTTTTGTGCAGTTACTCGTTGCAAAGGTCCTGGATTACACCCAGAAATTGCACACACTGAACAAGCAAATTACTACCCTCTTTACATCTCTGTAAATCAGAGCCCAAAGGTGCTAAACCACATATAGACCACAGGCTGCACTAAAAGGATTATATTGATTATGCTGACAGGGTTTTTAAATTCAATACATTTCTGGAAATAAAACACTGCCATAGTGATAACAACAAGCACATGGAAGTACTGTTGTGGAAGAGCAAAACACTGCTACAATGTATTTTTCGCAGATAATATATTATGCACTATAATCAACCAAATACTCCCTATGCCAGGATCTGCCACTGCAGATATACTGTATGTTAGTTTTATTTTAATTGGTAGTTTTAAACTACTCTTCTCTCAAATGTCCACAGTGATATGGAAAAAGCATGACACATATAATTAACATCTGTCAACTGTTTTATCAGAGCAAACAAACCTGCAGTACATTAACCGCAACCTGAGAAAATATATAAAATTTGCATACAACAAAATTTTACTTGGAAAAAAAAACCTACCACACAGACAACAAACCTTAGAATGTAGCATTAATAATGAGACAATTACCAAAAGTTATTCTTTTAAATTGTCCGTCATTGTATGGGGGAAAAACTTCAAAACAATACCGTCAGATGAAAAACTTCATCTAACTTCAGAAGTCAATGACTCCTGTAGTGACAAGCAGTCTTAGGTGACTGAGTTCATGCTCCCAAAAAGTGTGTCAATAGTTGTGCAATGTGCAACCCTATCTGCAGTCTCCATTGATCTTGAAGCAAACACACATGAACAGACTGACGGGGAGTAGGAGAGGGAACCTGGACTAGGACAGGGAGGTGACAGGGTGAGGAAAGGTGGGGGGGGCAGTGTACTTTATCACTGGACAATTTCAGCATAACACTTGCCTGTCCTCACGTCTCTCAGCAATGTCACTCATGTACTGCCTGTGTCTGTGTGCATGAAACATGTTCATACCACTAAAGCTTTTACAACCAAAGCAATGAGGTACAATTTTATCATTTTGTAATAATTTTTAAATTACAAATAAACTTTTACTATTATAAATTATTAATTGAATTATTAATTTATTGACTTCATTTTTTAACTGGCAAGTGTGAATCTCTTATTAGCAATACATCCATGTAGGCTTCTGTATCACTCTATTTGCTCAGACAGGGACAAGTGTGACAGAGTGAAACCATAAGTAAAAAAAAAAGATAGAAAAGGGGTGAGAAGGGGTATATGACTTTTAGCAAAGTTTCTCAATAACTAGTCTCAACTTCAGGCTGCATGCTGCACACAGGCTATTGACTGAGAGTCTGATGCATATAACTCACAAAAATTGCAAGCACTGCCTAAAATCACCTGTTCCAAATGGCTGGCGCTCTCCCTGATTTTTATCATTTAAGTTTTGCTTGAGGCACGTAATAATAAGTAAACCTGATGCATGAGCAGAATTGGATATTATACTTGTTTGCTGATATTTGTCTGTGAAAGAATCAGTACTGGATTGAAGAAAAAAAATATTTTTATTTAAATTCTAAACACTTCTTCTTCTATTTTCAGAGTATTTTCTGTACAATCTGCTGCACCACTATTTAAATTCATTATTTTGACAATGTATTTCAGTGCTCTTGTCGATCAAACAGTAGAGCATGGTGCATGGGTTTGATTCCAGGGGATGCATGAATTAATGAAATATGAATGCAATATAGGTTGCTTTGTATAAAAAAAGTATCTGCCAAATACATAAATAGACAACCCCACACAAAAACTGTGGCTGGTCACTGTGCATGTCAGATGGTCTCTTTGGGTAGTTCTTCTCCAGAATAAGGTACAATAAGGACCACCAGAATTTTAAAGTCTTGCTATGTGAGACTATTCAAAAAGTTCACTTACATTTATCTTTAATTACATTAACACTTACAATACTTGCATTAATGCCAAGTTCTGTCATGAAACTCTAGATGGCTCAGGATGATGGGTCATTAATGCAAATTGATGATATTCACAGCATTAAATACTTGGCACAAGCTGATTGGTTCATGTTGCCTACACAGCCAATCAGCTTACTGCTTTACATTTAAATGGCTGGTTAGCATTCACTAGAGCATTCCACAGCATTCTTTCAGAGTTCCTCTGAAACCCTCCACCTTCCCCAGCTCCACCTGTATAGGCCTGCTAGGGGTTATTTTATATGCTATTTGTGCAGCAGCAGTATGTCTTAAATGCTCCCAGCACTGTATCGCCGTATGCATTGGCAGTATTAAGTTCCTGTACTTGCTTGCAGCAGCAGCAGCAGCAATAATCTACAACTACAGCAATGTGTAGCCAACATAACCAACAGCAGCAGCAGCATATCAGATCTAGTCCGCCAAGAACAAATACAGTAACATTGTCATATCCATTACCATGCTAAAATCTTCCGAGAGTTGTCACAATAGAACTAGTTTACAGCTTGTTTTTATAAAATTCATCCTTTTTCTACCTTCCATACTGTCTCATAATCACTGTTATATGACATACAAGAAGCTATTTTGCTGTAACTCATTCTCACTCTGCTTTTCAAACTCTCTCTTTGTCTTTTTGTATGCAGCAGCGCCTTCTTCATCCGAGATCCTTTTCCCCAAAACCCCTTGTGAGTCTTCCCAAGGATCTACTCTCTTCTTTCTCCTCCCGTTCCCTCTCCCACTCTTTTCTCTCGCTATCGGCCTGCTGTCCTGGCCTCAACTTTCTTTGCACACAGACTCTCCGCTTTCAAAAACAACTGCGAGAGCAGCCAAAAACACAGAGGGAGACAGAACACTGTACAATGACCGTCTCTCTAAACTGCATTGCTCCAGCACAGACCGACATCATGTGCTTTGAGGAAAAGATGCATGTTTGTTTTTCCCCATGTTTGTATATGCGTGTATGCAGAGGTCAGCTGCTAACAGGCGCCAAAAATGAACAGCACTTGTCTACATGTGATGTCATGCGTGCATTTAGCATACAGAATTCTTCCCATGTGTTCCGTGTGCATGCTTCACTGATCCTGTCATGTGTTGTGACACGTCCCTCTATCTGCACACTGGAATTTCGACCTCTCTATGTATTCCTACTGGAATCTGGATGGCGCTTTGCCCTGGTAGAGAAAGTGGAATGCGGAACGCCCCCTCCCCCATCTTGTATCAGGCCATAGGGAGCCCAAGACCAAGTTAAAGATGTTGCTCAATACACTGCCCCGGGTCTTATATAGCTCCCAGCTGTGTGGAGCTGGCCAGCTCCTTGGTGCTCGAGAGGTCTGGAATGTTTGGAGTGCAAGCATGCTGGAAAGCTCAAGTCACCAACAACAATCTCTTGGAGATGGAGTAGAGAGAGAAAGAACCATAGAGAAATAGAGAAAAGAAAGACAGGGCGGTAATATATTCCACAGTCTGCCTCACCCAAAAAAACTGCGGTTTTAGTTCCATGACAGATAACAAATGGATGTAAAACATGCTATTGTGTTCCTTAACTGTCTTTAACTGCCAGTAATAATGTATTTACGGTTCTCATTGTTTGTCAGGTTTGCATTGTCCAAATAACACAATCAGCCTTAAACCTATAGATACAAATCTGAGTTTAAACATTTGACACAGCAAGTTCCATTAACTCGTAGATATGCATCATAGCATAAAAAGTCACTGATTAATCCACAAATCAAAGAGAAATAACACAGAATTTTCTTTTGTAACTGGTATTATTATCGAACTGCAAATATCATTGGTGGGTGTTTCTCACAATAACTATGTATATTAGCAATTATCGTGCATTTATTCTTGCTACTCTGATTCATTGTTAATACAATAGAGCAGTGAGGGTGCGGTGTGGATTATGACCAGACAGTCAGTGTTTACTCAGCTGAGCGAATTCTTCAAAATTTACGTGGAGAGATGTGGAGCCAATATAAATTCATTACAAAGTGCTATGCACATCAATTATGAAGGGAAGGACTGAGATTACTGTAACTGTAAACGTGCAATACGTGTTGCTGAAGCACAGGAGTTTTCAATCTTAGCGGTGGCAGGAACTTTCAGCAAGACTCTTATCTAACCCATGGACTCAGGAATAACAAAACTAGATGTTATTTTGCAATAAATTTGATTAAAATCTTTAACTACAGTATAACGTTTAACTGATGGTTGGAAAGAAAAAAATTAGAAATAGCTGGGCTGTCATAATGTCATGACCTACTGAACCCCTTGAGTATCTTAGGGATCCCTGGTTAAACATCCTGGGTGTAGTGGAATCCTGAACCCATATAATTTACACCAGTGACACACACAGATTTGTTGTGTGTGTGTTTACAAAACAAACACTGGCTGTATCTCAAAACCGACTGAGCTGCCTACTTCGTGGGCATCATGTGCGCCTGTGATATTTTTGACAAGAATGCGCCTAGTGAATGTTATCTACGTAGGCATAAACCTTCATCATTATGTTTGGAAGATTTTAATTCTACTCATTAACTTAATTTCTGTTGTGTTTTTGGAATTTATTTATTTTTCAGTGAAGAACCACTGAGAGGGGTTGAAAAAGTGCAATAAACAGTAGGTTATCACTGCAGTCACAGGGTGTCACTTTGGTCCCACTTTGATTTCACTTAAATTTAAAGGCAACAATTAAACAGAATTTTAGTACTATTTTATAGCAATGTTTCACAGCAAACTAAAGTGAGATTTAGTATTGTCAACTTCATATTGACTTCTCAAAAACAAGGGATTGCGTTTTAAAAACTGAGAAAAACTCTGCAAATCACAATCAGTACAGACAACAAAACATTAAATATTATATCAAAGTTAAAGTTTTTGTTAAAAATACCTACCTTGTGATTTCGCCTTGTGAATCGTTCGGGTTACGCGCGTCAGTAAAGTGCTCACTGCCTTCTACAAAAGCATACAGTTTTGTGTCCTTCCATAAAGATAAAAGAAAAAGGAGTTAGTCATCGAGCTGGGACAGCCCAAAATTCTTGGGAGGGACAGTAGCCTAGATACAGGCCAACAGTTCTGTTCGGTTCGGAGTCTCTTCCAAACAGACCAGACGAAGTGTGCTGGCGTGGTGCTGATGCGAGTTTTCTGTCTCGCCCTTTTGAGTTTGTCACGCCTTTGAAAAGAGACGGGCACGATTATCTTTCTACTTTGCCACAACTCTGAAGGAATGCAGTTCGGGATATCCAGAGAGCGACGTAACCACAAACCCCAAATATGTCTAAACGAAGCAGGTCTCTCAGCTGGTCTGAGGGTCAAATGAATCGCGCGAATCAAAAAGTCCCTCAGCGTGATAACAGGGAATGTAACTTTTTATTATTCAGTCCGCGCAAACGTGTCCAAGTTGTCTACGGGCGGTCAAAAAACTACATGCCTGCGATTCCTTTGTCTCCCCTAACCCATCCTCCCACCCTGTAACATGTGAACTGCCTCTGTCTGTCTGTCACAGTGGCGTGCTCACCGAATCGCGTCCAGTCGCCTTTTGCCCCTAATGCCCGACTCTGTCTCGCTCTGGCTGCTGTCATATGCTGTCCACTTGCTGTCCTGTCAAGTCCACTGACGAACGCCCGCGCCTATTAACAGCGTGACGACAATGACGCTGACACTACAGCGCCACTCACATCCATTCATAAAGTGGAGCGCGAGCGATTCTGCCTAACAGCTCGCACTGGAGCTCGTGGACAGTCCACGGCGCGTGTTCGCTCGCCGCTCAAAGGCTGAAATTGTGCAAGTCATATGTGTGCAAACGATTGTGTTTGCTAACACGGCCATTTCTGTGTTCTAAACATGGCTAGATATGAATGGTTAAATTTAGCTATGAGCTAATTTGGGTTCACAATATTGGGATTAAGTAAATGCTATTAATAACACACATAAGGTAAATATTACCGTCAATGAATTTATTTCCATATAATCAGTGACTTCCTCTCAAGGAATGCATTACAGTAGGCTAAATATTTACAGTGCCACTGCCAGATCAAAATAAATAAAAGGAATGTAAATATTTAAAATATAAATATTGTTATCAAAATATGAAAACGAGGATAAACAAAATATTACTAGGGATTTTTAATTTCACTCTAATTTTAGTGGTATGTTTGTTTTTGGAAATTGATGGTTTAACTTAATGTAATACACAAAAAGTATTTCAATGGCTTGCAACACTTCCCAATTCAGTCTGCTGACTAGTCACAATGTCTCCGATCATTTAGCAAAGGAGAGGCAGTGTTCTATTATAAGGCAATCATTGTGCAATAAATCACTTTTTCTTTTTTCTTTTTTACAGAAAATAGTGAACACTACCTGCTTTTCAGCATACACTCTTAAAAATAACGTTTCCAAAAGGGTGTTTTTGCAGTGATGCCATAGAACAGGGGTACTCAAGTTCAGAGGCCAAGCGGGCCGCATTTAAACTACATCAAATGTGAAGGGCCACACATTACAATTTGCATCATCAGACTTTATTTAAGACAATATTTGCAGATTTACTGATTTAGAAATACAGTTTATTACTTATCTAAGTCTTGCTTGTCCTTGTCCTATTTAAAATAACACTGAGCATGAATATATATATATATATATATATATTAAGTGTAAAAAGTTTTTGCTATATTGATGCAAAAAATTTGCATTCATACTCAGAGTATTGAACAAACTCAAAATGCTAAAACTAAAAACATTCTAGAGCAAATATAGTTCACAAATTTCTTTAGAAAGAAGTATTAGCCTATTTCTCATATTTATATTAACTATATTGTATCAATATTTTATTTTTAAAATAGATATCACTATTCTCCCTCCATGATTCTGAAAAAAAAAAAAACAGACAACTAAACAAAATAACATGTAATTTACCAGAGTTTCTACTAAAAATCGCTGCAGTCTATTTATAGAATACAATATTCAACGAATTGATAAAAAAAGTTTAACTAATTATTAATAACTCAGAACTTCATGACTTCACTTGTTTCATTCCTGAATGAATCAACGTTTTTTTGAACGAATCTCATTTTAAGTCACTTGTCTCCACCTGCTGGCATTAGGTTGTAATTGATACAATCTTTTACTTGTATCATGTCACGTCACTTTTCACTTTTCACTTTTGAAGCATCCTCACTTTCAAAATGGTGATTTATTCTATTTTGATCGCTTCTGCAGTGTTTATATCCGAACTATAAACTTTTATTCCAGTACTTCTGTGATTATTTGAATGTTTGTAACACAGAAATAACGATACAAAAGACTTTGTAAAGATGTTTGTTTCATATAGCCTACGTAAACTGCTCTGGATCAGCGGCAGCGCAGCGCAGATTTGAATGTTACAGTGTGATTCAAGGCTTTAATACATATGAATCCTGTCATTTATGAACAAGATTGCGTGGGTGATTGAATCTGTTCGCTATCTGGCTATTTATTTAAATATCCAACAGTATATGACAGTAAACATACGTCGCGACAATATATGGTTTAGCGGTGTTCTCAAGCCATCTCTGATAGGTAGCCTAAAATAATGGACCCTTTTCACAAGACTGTGATGACGCGTTTAACGGTCATCAGCATCGTAAATCCTCGAAAGTTTTTCATATTTGTATTTTTTTTTTTAAATGTATGTACATTTATAACACTATTCTTTGTATTATATCACCTTTGCATCAAATTACAAAAAAAAAAACAGTTAACGCTAATGCGAGGGTGTTTCTAAATGCAGCGTCTATGGGAGGGATGGTAAATTTGACATCTTTCTCTCTTCTGGCACCCATTATCAGTCTCTCTCAATTTTTTTCCTTTTATTGAAAGTCATGAAAACACTATCGTCGAGTTTTTCTTTTGCTATTTGAGCAAATGGGAATGCAAAAAATATATTTGTGGTACTCTCCCATTCACTGCTCTTCAAGTTAACCCAACTATGACGACTTCCGCTGCTGAGAAACCCGGAAATGTGAAAAAGGTCCATAAAGTATATTTATAATCCAATGCTAATCGACATATTACCATATAGAATATATTATCTGCCTTGTTCTGTGACAAAAACCGCACATCAGCTCACAAAATGAAGTTATTTCAAACACTCGACTGATGTTGTGGAGTAAAATCTTTTGTTGGACAACGCTTTTTAAGTTGTATGGGGCATGCCGCGTGTTGCTTTTTAATTGCACGTTAGTTACAGCGCTTGCAGAGATCGAGCAGCTTTTACTACTGAGATTGTATACATTTAATAAAAATCAAACTGCCTAATATTTTGAGCGCAAATTGTAATAAAAATACATTAATCTTCAGCATGACGCAGGCCACAAAATTAATGCAGACGGGCCGCCTGTTGAGTAGGCCTATGCTAACCTATTTTTGGTTCCCAAAAGAACCTTTCAGTGAACCGTTCCTAAAAGAACCACTTTGAAGGACATTTGAAAAAATCTAAAGAACCCTTTTCGACTATAAAGAACCTTTTCCGCATTTTAAAGGTTCCATGGATGTTCAAGGTTCTTCATATAACCATTGATGCCAATAAAGAACCTTTATTTTTAAGAGTGTATATCATGGATAGTTACGAGTAGCTAATTGTCTCTTTGTTATCTTTCACACAAAGTTTTATGTTTTGCTAAACAAGTACTGACATAGTACAGACCCACAGGGGACACACTCACTGGTGAGCATAAAGCATTTTAACCGTGCTCCGCTGTGCAGTCGGTTCACCTCTGCTGGACCTGTCAGAGCGCTTCACATATGGCCTGCATCAGTGACACGCATGCAGCTCCATCTCATTACAGACACACCTGGGGCACATTCAGAAGGGTTTGTTATTCTAGAACATTTCAGCAAATTTCAGAGAACAGAATCCCACATGTGATGAGACTGATCCATTCTTAAGCAAAACTTAAACTTAAATAAACACTCTTGGGAAAATATTTGCTCATCAATATTAAAATGTTAAACTGTGGCCCATATTAATAATAAAAAAGTGAAAGTAAAATTAAAATTGGGAACTTTCTCTACAATAGAATTGATACAGATAAAAAAAAAAACATGATAAAGATAAAAAAAATAAAATAAAGCCAGAAACCAGAATGTTTACATTTGTAATAAAGATTTGTAAAAAGAATAACAAAACAATCATGCTAATAACAAATAGATCAGAAAGTCCTAAAAATATGCCTTTATTATTATTGTTATTATTCAGTGAAGGATTCTATGCCATAGCACTGACAAAGCGAGAATTTTTTTCTGTTTACAAAACAGTAGACTGTTCCATAATGATTGAGCATCATTAGGTGATGCTGTTTACTGTTCAATGATCTTAGAGACTCTTTCTGAGAAGTGATATTCCTTCTTGTAACATCCTTTGAGTTTTTCTGAATAACTATGTCACACACTGTTATTGCTGAGGCTGAATGACAGGTGAACAGCGTGGTAGAAACATATCAGGCTATTCAAGTTAACACCCATGTATTATTAGTTAGGACAGTTTTTTGCAATTTGCAAAATAACCCTTTTTAATGAAGAATGTTGGTAACCAATGTTGGTATATTGGTTACAGGTAATTTATTTAATTATTTAGCTTAGCACTAAAAGAATACCATGGTAAAAATAAATTGTCATTTTTACAAATTTGAAGTTCAGAATATTTTCACCCACCGCTTTGAGCTTGGTGCAAATGGAGTTAGGATGAATGTATATAGACCAAGAGGTATTTTCAGGTGGGGTTATTTAAATAACCTGCTGTCCAAACTAAATGACCTAGTTTATTTAACCTTGTGGCAATTGGCGATTTCACCAGGGTTTTCAGATATCCTGGGATCTGCTCCAAGAAAAAAGCTCCCTCATGCTTGCCACTCTGTTCCACAAAGTGTCTTCTGAAGTAGGCCAGTAGGATGTGTCCAGACTTGTCCCTCTCAGTTAAGATATGAAGTGTCCCTGAAGCATTTGAAAAATCTATCTTCCTCTTATTATCTAGAAATAATTAAGTATTGTACTTGATTCATAGTTTCCACGCAATCAAATGACACTTTTGGTGTTTCTAAGTCTAGATTTCATAAACAACACACAAGCACACTTTTATTGCACTGTGAACTTGTGAAACAGCCTGTTTAGGGACTTTTCTGTGTACAGGCAGCCTACAATACAACAACAAGCTGTTGCTGATTCCCCCAGGGTTTTTATTCCAAAGTGTCTTTCCCAGCAGTTTTTTTTGCTCAGGCTTCTACCCGACACTATTGATGTACCAGTGGGCACAATGGGGAATAAAGGTGGCTTCAGTGCAGTCCACTGCCTCTCTCCCTTCTCTCAGGGGGGTAAAGTGCTGATAATTGGGTTGGAAAGACCTTGGGCTGATTCTAACAAAGCCAATGCTGGCCAAAGCCATAGACACATGAAAGACTAAGGGTTAAGCCTGGCCAGATCAATGTCTCTCAGCAACTCTCCATGACCCTGGCACTGAACAGGCAGAGCCTACAATGGCTTGTTTTCTGTGGCATAGAGCCGTGACATTCTCCTCACTGATCCACTTTACAAAAGCCCATTACAGAGGTGCCAATTGAGCTTGAACAATCACCCACAAAAGCTGTTATTTACATAGATTCTGTCCCCAGGCTCAACCCCTCTGCCCCCCCCCCAAAAAAAAACTGTCCAGTGGCAGACTAGTTGAGCTCTTCTCACTGTGTGAGAACACTTTTGG